AAAAAAAAAAAAAACAGAGATTAAACCAGAACCGAGCAACTACAATTTGGAAAAACATAAAGCAGCTTGAATTCATCAGTAGAAGTCGACAAGTAGAAAGTTGCTGGTGGTCGTAATAATTAGTTTAAATTCTGCAAAAGATGAATTTTGTGTAAATTAATGGAACTAACTTTATGTTCAACAATATAAATGGGCTGCCTTTATCCAAACATAAAGAAATGCTTGAATTAAAAAGGGAAAAAAAAAACGTCGTGTTTTTGACTGATCAGACTGACTATTTATCTGCTTGATGAAATAATGCTTAGTTATAGAAGAAACATGAAAGTCAATCTTCATCTTAGCTACAGATTTCACATTCCATAATATATTTGCTATGACTGAGTATCAAAAACCTGAAACAATTTTATGATGTAATATATTAATAATGTAGTAGTTAAGAAGACGAAACGATTAAATCCAAAGCAAGATAAAAATACACGGAAAATCATACCCAATCAGCCGCAGCCTGTAATGTGACATGATCACCCCACTCCCCGTTTCTGTAAGTCAATGCAAGTTTAATTAAAAATTAACCCTCACTTGTCGAAATTGATATGCTAATAAAATTGAAAGGCCATATATATATACTTGCTCATTTTCTTCACGTATTCACCATAAGCCATGGGGACATAATTTTCGTACAACTCAGCTCGTGACTTCAGCTGAAAGTTGGCATAACATTGGAAAACTAAGTGTTTTATGCAATGAAAAGATCAAATTTTTATTGGCAAGGACCATAATTAAAAAAAAGAAATAATAACAAAGCAAACCTGGTTCACGATTTGTTCTCTCACGAATTTGTGATGTTCTGGGCTCCGATATATCTGATCCGACAATGACCGGAACTAAGGAGAAAAAAAAATAAAGTTAATAAGAGTACTGCAAAATAGAATAAAATAGGAAAAAAAAATGCATTTTTAGTCTTGTATGTTTTAGTCCCAAGGTTCCAACTTTTTGCCAATACATTACACGACTAAAGTTGCAACAAAATTTTAAATTACATGACTTAAATTGCTAATCGAAAAGACCAAAAGACAAAATGTTGGAATCTTGGGTCTAAAACTGCTATGGCGTTAAACCAACAGGACTAAAAATGCAATTTTGCCAATAAAATATCAAGCATCAAGCATTTCGAAATTACTTAATACCATCACAACATGCAGGTAAAGTACATAGATGTCAACAAACAAACCTGACAATTTCCATCTCCTGAAATTTTGAGTTCGACCAAATCATATAACTGTAATCTGATATACAAAAAAGCTTGAGTTAACTAGAATTGCTGTTTATTGATGCTTGAGTAATAACGTGCAAACAGGCAATTGTATAAATCTATCCGGAAAGTTCATTAACCTTTTTACCATACCAACTACAAATTACATTTATAAATAAATTGTTAAATTT